CCTTAAACTCTTCCCCAATGCTTCATTCTTAACATGTTTTATCACTTTGTTTAGATAAAAAGTCTAAATCCTTCTTTAATTTACTACTTTAAAATCTCATATGAATCTTTTGTGTAACAGTGGGGAAAATTAAAATGTATATCTGTATTTCCATAAAGAAAATCTGAAAGAATACACAACACAAGGTGTAGAAGGCAGGATACTTGGAGGAGGCGGTAACCTCTAGACTTTAAACTGTACTTGTCTTTATTTTACCTTGACTTATAAACTATATGAATTTAATCATTTATTGAAATGTACTAAATAATAACCAAAAGGAAACCCCTACATACTTCAAGTTTCACAATCAGGTTTTCCTCTATCCATACCAATCAACTGTCCATGTACCATACTCATCAACACGTATCATTTTATATGTGAAGTCTTCAGGCTTTACAGAATATAAAACGTGTGCATGGTTGATACTCATGCTACATAAAAAATCGTTACAGTTAACACTATACAACTTCTCCTTCAATAAACATCTCCAATGTCTCCAAAATTTGCTTGCTAGAACACAAAGTTCCATTTCCTATTTATCACTCCTGATGCTAATTTATGGAATAAAAGCCCTTTCTACCTTAAGCAAAGTCCCCATAAAGGTTTTTTTTTTTTTTAAATTCACTTTCCTGGACAATGAATGGGTTTTTAAAAAATAATGTAGTACTGTAAGTAAAAGTTCCCCCAAATGATAAATTTACCATAGAAAATTTACAGCATTAAAACTTTCAGTACCCTCTTTTAATTTTCTTCTTGTTCTGGTTATAAGCTTAAGCCCTGAGATGCTATTAAAAGCAGTGACTCACCTTGTTTACCTGAAGTTTGAATACTGAGTATTCATGACAAAATTGCCATCTCTGACAATAAGAGTGGCCTTTAGACCAGTGGTGATTTGCCCCCAGGAGACTTTTTTGGCTGTCACAACCAAGTGGGTTTTACTGGCATCTACTGGGTAAAGGTTAGGGATGCTGCTAATGCATAGGAAAGGCCCTCATAACAAAGAATTATCTGGCCCAAAATGTTAGTATGTTGCTGTTGAGAAACCTTGCTCTAGATTATAGGATCATGAATATCCCTAAAGGAAATGATCCATCTCCTCTCCTGCTAAAGAAAATCAGAATGGAACTTCTGTATGGGCCCGTGTTTTCAACTCTAAAAGTAATTCTCAGGAAAAAAAATTCCCTACTAAGCTTTTTTATAATTTGCTATAAATTGTTATATACGATGTCTGTGTGAACTTGCCTCTAGAAAAAAAAAAAACACCTCATTATGATATAAAGCTATGCTTTTTAAATAGATACCTATCTTTTTACACCATGAGACTATATTTTTATAATTTTAAAAGAAGAATATTGTATCTATACACACATCGTGTATGCATACATTCTTATGACAGAAAAACTGAGTCATATAGCTCACTAAAGTCCTTTCTTTAGGAATTTTATTTTTCTTTTGCTACAATGGAAAAGACTTCAAATCTAAATAAAAACTTGCTTTTAAAAAATTTTCAGCCTGATCTCTATTCTGAACAATGGGCACGTTTCAATAGAATCCAATGCAAGTTCTGCTATTAAAGGCCTTTGACAGCTAAGGAACATTCTCATTATATGTGATGAAATACATAACATACCAGTATTTACCTCAATATTTAAAACAAGAACCAGAGAGCCCAAATGGTGGGATTCCCTAAAATAACACAATTCTAATATAAAAATTTTCAAAAAGACCCAAGCACTTTACTCAAACTAAAAGATCTTTTGACTTAGTGAGGAAAAGCAACTTGTTTTTTTTCTCAGCTATAGGCTCTGATAATGACTAGAAAAGAGGTCCTTAGAGCATCCACACCTTTGTACACCAAATGTATGATTTCACCTAATTCTAGAGCAAATACACTAGGCCTCTATGTTTCTTACCCATTTCTCACCTAGACCACTGAGGGGAAAAAACAAACTTCACTCTCAAACTACAAACAACTCATTATCTTTCTGAATGTCTAGATCTAAATACTTCATTCTAAAACATCTAAGAAAGATTAAAATAAAGATTTTAGTATTATCATCAAATGCCAGTTTGCTGAGTGTTTTTTGAAGATTATTATTTATGGTCTTCACACTGAAATTCAAAGGCAATAATATGGGAGAAAACAGCTCATCCTGTCAGGCAGAAAAAAGGCAAGAAATCTGCTTGGCTAAAATGGGTCATTTCACTCACAAAGGCATAGACTATATCCTACCACATGTACTATACAGCAGACACTAGATACTCCAGGAATTCCTTCTCTATATGACATTGGAGAAACAAAACATAACAAAATTTCTTTTCTCCACAGATTAAGAAAGAAGCTATATATACACTGGGCATCACCTTAGACCAGTCCCCACTCCAAAATCTCCACTTCAAAAATAAGGTCTACATAGACACTTAATACTTAAGTCCTTTTTAGACACAGAAAACTTAAGTAAACAGGAGACTTAAGTAAGGGGCTCTTCTATGATTAGCCTAAATAATATCTCTGATAAAAATCAAAACAAGACAAAAGATGTGGATTCTGCTCTTGGCTTAACCACATGGTATGCAGACTGCAAATGAAATTCTGTGTATGCATGTTTACAAGCCTCACCAAAATGGCAGAAACGGTTACTTTAAAATCTCACTTCCCAGATAAAACATATGAGCCCAAAGAGTTAAGAGATTTACGACTTTGGAGACTCATTAGCACTCTACCTCTGAATAAATTTAAGGATGCCACTTATGTAAAAGCAAATGAGTGATCTTTTATCCCACCTATGATAGTTATGTAAAAATAGTCCAGAAAATCAAGTACCTCATCGTTCCATCACTTTTAGACAAGTCTCAAGGAAAAGTACACTCTAGAGTCTAAAGATGTTTATTTTATACGTAAAAGTGTTCTAAGCCCATCTCTCATCAATTTGCATCAAAGATACAGACATTTGAGGGACTAGCTCTCTTTCAACCCACACAGTTTTTCCCAAAGCAAGATTCTGGGGTCACAATGTATGAAGGTTTTAAACCTGAAGGACTCCCTGTTCAGAACCTAGAATGTAAAACAGTGCACTAACTGAATTCTGCCAGCCACAGTTTCTCCTATTCCCCTCAAATACAACAGCCAGGATAGTTGTACACACAGAGAAATCCTTGTACTTTAACACCAAGATCAGAGGTTAAAATAATTAGTCATAAGGGATGAGCCAGGCACCTTAGAACCCAAATACAATACTCTGAGCATTTGGAACAATAATCATCACAGCACAGTACCATATCCAAGCCACAGTCAAGAGGGAAAAAGTACATATAGAAAATACCTTTTTCCCTAGAGCCCAAAAGATGATGCCGACTATCCTAGATTGCTCAGACCTAAAAAGGCCCAGTATAAACATAAAGAGTCAAAAGAAAGGCCTGATTAACTAATTCCCCTCATTTCAAAATATATCTATAGGGTGCCTCGCCTTCTCCAAGCCTAAGAATCTCCCCAGTTCAGCTATCCAACTACTCTGTAGTTTTACGGGAACTTCCTTTTCCTAACTTCACAAAAGGTCCCAGGTGCAAGACTCACGTGATTGTTCAGGGTAAGGGCAGGGAGCTCCTTAACACTCACCTGTCTCAAACTAAAGACGGGAATTAAGAACCCGACTTAAATACACAGGTAAAGCATAAGGCAAATAAATGTCCAACCAGTCAACTTGGGGAGAGGCATATAATTGAAATGCTCTTTGAGCTAGCTAGTTCCGACTCCCTGTCTCTCTGACTCAGTCTCTCTCCTCTCTCTGTCTCGCTCTCTCAGTACCAAGGGCAGGGACTCTGGCAAGACCCCGCCCCCCCATCTCCAAAGCGGGGTGGGCGGGAGGTAGCCTGAAGAGTCCTTGTTCCCGCGCGAAGCTTAGAGACCATTGCGGATCTACGGAAGGTGACGGGAACCGGTCCGGCTGGAGCCGCAGGCTGAAGAGTAAGCAGAGGGAGCACTAGGCCCGCACCGTGCCACTGCCGCCTTGGAGCAGATCGCTGTCAAAGAACGACTCCGGCGGGGCAGCAGGAGGGTGGCCCCCGCCCTGCACCGACCCACAGAGCTTTCATGCCCCACGCTGTATGGAAGGTAGGGGTCCTGGAGCCGTACCTCGGACACTTCGTCCTCGTCGCTGCCAGAGGCACCACCTCCACCCCCGGTCCTCAGCACAGCAGCCGCCAACTTGAAATCCAGCGCCGCGTCCCCTCCGCCGGCACCGCTGCCGCCGCCACCGACTCCCGGCGCAGGCCCGGCCTCTCCAAAGAGTCTCACAGTGCGGATCCCCAGCCCGACCCCTCCCGGCGGAGGCGGCTCCGAGGCCCCGGCTGGGGCGGATCGCGGAGCCACGGAGTCCAAGTCCTCCTCAAAGGAGGTGCCCCCGCCTCCGCCGTCGGTCAGCATGATTCGCACGCGGAGCCGGAGGCACTGCAGAGTCACTCGCGGCCACCGCCGCCGCTGATCCCAGGAACGAGAAGAGCAGCAGGAGGAAGAAGCGTCTCCTTTCCCCCGTCCCAGCAGCGCCACTAACTTCTCACTGCCTAACCTGCTGCCTCCCGCCCCCCACACTCGCCACTGGCTATAGCTCCAAAGCAGGTGCAGATCATTGGCCTAGACAACCCGTCGCTCAGGCTCTTCGTCACGCGCCGCTCGCTGGCTCTGGGCCTCCAAGCTGCGTTGACCCGCGCAGGCCTAGGCGGTTGCGAACACCCGCCCCCTATTACCCGCGCTGACTTCCGGTCTTTTTCTACCTCCATTGGTCAAGTTCTCTGACTATCGCATCACGACCTTAAAGTGGATTAGTTGGCCTCGTGGTCAGTCACAGTGACCCCTGACAATGGGAGATTTCATTGGCGTCTTAAGGTGTCGGTCACATTGTCAAAGGACGTCGCGTGGTACAATTGGTCACTAAGAGTACCATTCATCCCGCCCCCATCCGAGGTGACGGGAAAGGGTTGGGGAATTTCCACTTGTGATAAAATTATGGCTGAGGTGACGACCTGCAAGAATAGGTGAGCTTCGGAGTAGAATTCACCATGCTCTCGGAGGCTTCTACGTCAAGAATGCAAAAGACGCGGAGGTAACACAGCTCCCACCTGTCGCTCTTTGCCAGCCACGGAGACTGGGGCCGGAGGGTTGCTGCACCGGGATTGGAGGAACCAGCAATCAGTCTCAGCTAGAGCCCACCTCCCCACCAGGCCCTGATTGGAGGAGCGTTGCGTCAGTCACTAGAGAGGTCGCTCTTCTGGGACAGGTGAGGATGCCCAAACTATTGCCTGAGGTCTTTGGACTAGAGTAAGGGGACTATGAGAGAGGGGCGTGGTGTCCGTCCTGCTGCTCACCTCCAGCCTTTCGGAATAGAACCCGTCCGGAGAATTTCAGGGGGCTGTGGGGGTTGCTTGGGATGGGCACCCAGAGGACATTCGGCCCGCCCGCGTGCAGTGACGCGACTGGGCGCGGCAGTTCTACAACCTGCGGGCGGGATCGCCCCGCGGGGCCGCGTTCTCTTCTTGTGAAAGGCGGCAGGCCTGAGGGCTGGACAGCGCCAAGCCTCAGTACTGGGAACTGTCCCACGAAGGAAGCGGGGGAAAGGCTGCTCCCCAGGCGCAGGATCAGACCGCCGGGTTGAAGGCAGTGGTTAAAAAAGAGTGCTTGTTCTGGAGCAGTTTCGAGTTCTGGTGCCGCCACTTGTTTGCTGTGTGACCTTTGGGTGTTTGTTGTTTAATCTCAGTGACTTTCAGTTCGTTCATCTGTAAAATGCGGGCCATATTAGTATTTCCCTCTTTGAGTTGTTGCTGTTATAAATAAATTAGATAATAACATAGGGCGCTTAGCAGAGTGCCAAACTAACAATAAAAACTTATGTTTGTTAGATCCTCTTCAGTTCATCTGCCCCTGAGCCCTGCCCATCAAAGTGATTCTTGTCAGATTTCTGATGCAGTAGAAAGCTAGCTAAGGGGGTCTCTTATCCTCTAAGAAACTCTATCTCTACTACTTCTGTCTCCTTTGTCAATAAAGAGGTGTTTAAAAATGCTCACGCTCCAACTAATCCTATGATCAGAGATCACAAGAAAGGCGCTTGGTGAGGACTGTATGTCAAATGTCCTTTGACCTGGAAAATGTCAGTATGATTTTTAGGCAACAGAGGCTGGCTAAAAGCAAACGATTTGGCATTGTCTCCTCTTTTGCAACTTTAACAAAGGGCTTTGTATATCTTGATTGTGCAATATTTAATATTTACCTCCCCTGAACTACAATCTGAAAATTCTGTAAAGAATATAATAATTGTTTAAATTACTTTAAAAATGGGTTCTGCCTAACGTTTATTTAAAGAATATTTTGAATATCGTAAAAATTTCTTTGGTTTGGTAATTGTTCATTTTGGCATTTCACATGAAAAAAAAAAAAAAGACAGTATTTCCTAAGAGCAGAACATGTTAGGTAAATGTTCTTTCTAGAAAATAAGATGTAGAAAATGGAAAAAAGCCTTGTACCTTTTCTAGAAAACTATTTTGATGTAAATGCCAGGTATATACTGGCTGTAGTTAGAATTTGTGGTTCTTAATTAGCCCATATCCTCAGTCCTCAGTGCTGTTTAAGTTTCCAAAGCATGTGTGAGTAGGTCACAGCCCAAAGTAATAACACCAACAAAAGAAAGCCAGCACTGCCCATCCCACTTCAAAGCTGGATTATCCAGAATTGGTATGGATACATCCTTAGGCAAAAACAGGTATTGACTAGTACAGCATTACAAAGGAACTGCTTGTCATTCCTACCTCTAGTACAAAAATAATTTCTGATGCAACTCCCTAAACAAACTCATTAAATTCTTCAAACGTAATGAATCTCAAGACAGAGGAAATTTGGGTATAGAAATTTTTCCCAGCATATTTGAGACAAAAGTATTCTCTCAGTATATAAAAAATGCTTCTCTACTCAATGCCTAGCAACCAACCCTGAGGTTAGCCAGGAAAATATGATTGGGCAATAATTTTTTTCTCCTGGAACTTTACCTAAGACACTTACTGTCAGTAGTTTGATAGTAAATATGGAAGTTAGGAACTCCCAATCTCCTAGACTTGGCGACTGCTATATAAGCTCTGTATTACAAATGATTTAATGTCTCCATATATACCACATTCATGTGGTTTTACAAATGTAAAAACTAATTGGTGAATATATAAAATCACACTTAATATATCAGTGTAAAGTATCAATAAGTATTAGTGTGATTTGGTGGGTAACCTTAGTTTTAATATATCTTAAGATGATATTTACTAATAAAAGGTAACCCTGTTTTTTCAAATGCTGAATAAGTCATAGAGAGCAAAATCTGTCTTAAGAGTATATTCGTTAGAAATGAGCATTCGAATAAATGTTTTCCCATAGGAAATGAGTGAGAATATTTATTAGGGCATCATTGTAATATGTTTCAAAACACTCTTCTTCTGACCATCTTTCAGATGGAAGGAAAAGGAAAAAGGAGACACTGTATAGCCCAAGGATTTTTAAAACTTCTGAGGTAATGAAAGGTTTTATTCCTCATAAGAAATATGAGCTTGGCCAACTAAATTGTACATACAGAGACTTTAGCTACAAGTAGATCTTTCACTGCAATCTGCATTTCCTCAAGACATTTAATGTCTGCATGTCAGTCCATCTCAGTTCAGTCCAATATATAAGGAAAGGAGGTTAAGTAAGCCAACGAATTTGTTGCACTAGGATGTTATGTCATATAACCTTTATAATAATAACCCTACCAAGATTTCACCCATTTTATAGATAAGGAAATTGAAACTCCAAAAAGGTTAATTAACTTACCCAAGCTTGTAAGGTCATTGTACGGAATAGCTAAGATTTGAATTTATTTCTGCCTCATCTCAAAATCCATGCTTTCCCCACTATTTCACATTACCATCCATGACAGAGGAACTTTGTCAATCAGGTAATCTGATATAATACTCCAAACATTATATCATTCTTATAAACCTGCTGATTAACCGTGTAGGTGGAGTTATCCCTAACTACCACCAAATTTGCTATCTTCCTCCTTTGTAACTGTTGGAAACATTTAATTGAAAACTTATCTCTTCATTTCCCCAATTAAATTGAAAGTTTGTTAGACCAGGTAATTTCATGGTTAAAAATCTGAATAGTTAGTGTTGGCTGGTATAGCTCAGTGGATTGAGAGTGGGCCTGAGAACCAAAGGATTGACAGTTTGATTCCCAGTCAGGACACATGCCTGGCTTGTGGGCCAGATCCCCAGTGGGGAGCGTGCAACAGGCAACCACACATTGATGTTTCTCTCCCTCTCTTTCTCTCTCCTTTACCCTCTCTCTAAAAATAAACAAATAAAATCTTTTTTAAAAATCTGAATAGTTAATATTTTCACAAGGTTCAAATTTTAAGAAGAATCCTAAAAATACAATGAAATGAGTCCTTTGCCTAGTAAACACCCAGATCTCCCCTCACAAGTAAACTATATTATTAGGTTATTAAATATCCTTCTAGAGATTTTTGTACATATATAAGCAATTCCATACATGTGAATTTATATTTTGCCTTTTTTTTAAAGATTTTATTTATCCACTTTTTAGAGAGGGAAGGGAGGGAGAGAGAGAGAGAGAAACACCAGTGTATGGTTGCTGGGGGCCATGGTCTGCAACCCAGGCATGTGCCCTGACTGAGAATCGAACCGGCGACACTTTGGTTCGCAGCCCGCGCTCAATCCACTGAGCTACGCCAGCCAGGGCACATTTTGCCTTTTTAACACAAGCAACAGCATACTATACACACTTCAGTAACTTGCTTTTTGTCGCCTAATTTATTCTAGAAGTACCATGTCAGTACATAAAGAGCTCTGTCATTCTTGTTTACTAATTCATGGTCATCTGTTGACTAATTGTCCCATTTGTGCATTTCTGTAATGATGGCATTTAGATCATTTTCCTTTTTAGGGGGATGGGGGTGGTGGTAACAAACAATGCTACAGATGGCTAACTTTCTAAACTACTCTCTATCCTACAGAAAGTGCTGTACCCATATTAGTTTAATCAAAAAGTCATAAAATTACACCTGGACTGTAGCCTACCACTGTTTGAGCTATAGTTGAATGTACCTGCAAACTGTCTAGCAACATCGAGGAGGTGGGCATACTTTTCTAAAATAAGAGGCTATGCCTGCAACCGGACTACTGCCACGATGGAGCAAGAAAATTACAGAATTTTATTCAGAATGTTTTATAGAGCTTATTCTGTTATTGAGCCTGCCCTTTTTGAAAAGGGGCAAATATATATATATATATATATATATAAATACACACACACACCAAAAAAAGAATGCCTGTTTGCCCACTAGAAGTTCTATCCTTGCTGCCTGCACAACAAGAATGGGGCAAGTAAATGATATCACTCCTTTTGATTATATACCTTTAGTGCCAGTGATGGGTGTTTTTCAAACTTCTAATAATAATGAGTATATAAATATGTCTTATGGTAGAAATCACTCAGGTTTAAACAAAGGGGACAGGAGGGAAGAATTAATATCTACCTTCTTGCTTGGGGCTCTGTCGGGATTTCTTAAATCTTGAATGGTTGGACAAAGGACAGTATGTCGAGAAGAATATGCATTGGGGTTATTGAGAGAAAGCAGGATTTGGTGGGAGGATCTCCAAGCTGGAAATCAGAAATACCAAGTCTACTTTAGGTAATTGGTATATTTCTGTGTGTGACACTGTTTGAACTAGGAAGTTTGTCCATTTGACCTTTAGAGGTATATTTTAAAGGTACATAACTTCACAAGCATTTCATATCACAAAATATAGTCAATACTGCAGATCAAATAACATACATGCATAGACAAAGTATAGTAGGTTGCATACAAGATGTTAATAGTAATTATCTTTGGGTAATGGAATTATACATAGATTTAATTATATGTGGATTTATTAAATCATTTTGAATATTTGTATTTTCTAGACTGTTTTAGGTTTTGCACAGTGAACATATACTTTTTGTATAATAAAAAATTTAAGTATTTCAAATAAGTTTTGTGATTTTTTTTTATCCTACCCAAGGACTTTTTTTTTTCTTCATTGCTTTTAGAGAGAGAGGAAGGGAGGGAGAGAAACTTCGATGTGAGAGAAACATCGATTGGCTGCCTTCCTCATTCATCTAAACCGGGGATTGTGTGCGCCCAGACTGGGGATCAGACCCGCAATCCAGACATGTTCGCTGACTAGGAATAGAACCTGC